CCCCTTCATCTCCTCCCCTCCCCCTCCCCTCCTCCCCTTCCCCCCCCTTCACAATACCCCTAGACTCCTTCGGGGCGAGCTCCGGTGCCACCTGCCCCATGAGACCTTTCTACATGAAGTCTCAGTACCTGGTGCCTCCCTCCCTTCCCAAGGAGTCTGGCTCTCCCGTGTCTTTTCCATCCTCTCTTGTCACCTTCCCTGATGCTAGCCGGCCCAGCTTGCCAAGAGCCTTCCCCAGACTGGCCCATTTTCCAGCCCCAGGAACTTTTCAGGCAGAGAGGCTTAAGCCAAATGGAGCGAATGCAACTTCCAGAGCACACACAGGGTCTTCTTTACCCCGGTTTAATTCAGCACGCATCGATCGGCCACATAGCAGATCCCACTACCTGCCGGGTGCTGTGTTAGATGCTGGGGATACAGGGAGGAAAATGACATTAGCTGGCCTCGGGGCTCCTTTATTTTACTGGGGCAGTGAATGCCTGCAGAAAAGTCTGCACAGCCAGGAACCAGGAAGTACAAGTCACCTCAGGGCGAAAGGTCAACTGGAAGAAGTGGCACCTGGGCCTGCTCTGCAGGAAGGCCTGGGGAGGAGAGCCTTCCAGCCCATGCAGATCCCTGGCCAGGGGAGATGGGCAGGGAACAGTCCTCGAGTCAGCTGGCATATGGAACATAGAGGTTTCTAGGGAGAGCACCCCATGCTCATTCTGGAAAGACCAAGGAGTCACCTTGGGAAGGAGCATTCGGTTGAGATGGAAGCGTTTGTGCCAAAGGTGATAGGGAGCCATTGCAGGTTTGAGAGCAAGGGAATAATAAAATTATCACTCACAAGAGTGAGAGAAAAATCATTTTGGCTGCATTATAGACAATGGCGTAGAGAGGGGAGAGACTGTGAGGAGGTTGTTGAAAAGTCTGATCCGTGCAAAGAACACGTTCCCTCGACCACCTTCTCTGTTGAACAGTCTCCTAACACCACAGTCTCGAAGGCACTAGAGTCATGAGTAACCCACAACCCACAGAGAAGGCCCAACAGGCTCCAGGAAGGCGGCCTCTGCCAGCCACGTGACTGACAACGGGTAAATGTAGGAACTGTCCGACTGGGTGGCTCTTGAAAGCCCTGGTTCCAGAGGAGGGCCTCCACATGCTGGGAGCCCATGGCCAAGAGTCCCACAGGACAGACTGTGATCTGACCCCTGAACCGTGGCTCAGATCTGGCTCAGAATCGACCTACCCACAGACTTCACCTCTTAACCCATGGGGAGGAAATGGGTGACGTGTTGAGATGTCTGAGCCGCTATCAACCCCAGGAAACGTGTCTGTGCCCTGAGCCTGGAGGACGAGCGCCTCAGCCCTGGTTGTGGTCAAGGCCACTGGAGGAGTGGGGCAGGAGGGGCCCCCTGTGAGGTGAGGGGTTGGTGAGACACCCCATCCCATTGGTACGGTATGCAGCTCTCCCTGCAGAACGCCCAGTCACAACTGGAAAATAGGAGCCGGTTAGCAGGACTTCCTGGGGGCCCGCAGAAGTGCAGGGCACAAGCGCGGGGCATCTCACGCTCCACCAGTCAAGACTGGATTCCTTTCTCCCTCCCTCTCCCCGACCTTTCCTCTGACTGTGCAGAGCACCCCCTCCCTTCCAGTCCTTCAGCCTCCAGTCAAGGGCCATCCTGGGCTCCTCGCTCATTCTCACCCCTTAGAGCCAGTGTGGTGCCAACGCTTGTTCGACCTACCCTCACCACATCTCCCGAATACCCCCCTTCCCTCCTCTGACACCGACCCCCATCACCTCGCTGGACTAAAGCAGTGATGGCCAGGAGGCAGGGGGCTGCCTGCCTCAGGTCTCTCCCCACTCCAGTCCACCCTTCCTTCAGCCACCAAAAGAGCAGGTCTGCTTGTCACTGCCCTACCCAATAAACTTCAGTGGCTCTCTACTGCCTCCAGGATCAGACACCAATGCAAACGCTTTGTTTGGCATCCCAAGCCCTCATAATCCAGCCCCTTCCCACCTTTCCAGCCTTCCTGCACCCGACTTCCCGACATATACTCTGGGATCCAGTGACCCTGTCCTCGTGGCTCTATCTCTTGGCTCTGGGCACTTTCTCTGGCTGTTCCCAGGCCTGGAACACTCTCCCTGCCTTTGCTCCAACTAGTGACCTCCCTGGCCTCCTTTTAGTTCCAGTTAAAATCTTACCTTCTCCAGGAAGCCTTGCCCAGCCTCTCCGAATTCCAGCTCTTTGCCTCTGTTCATTATTTCCTACTTATCCTGTGTGTAGCTTGCTTTGTTTATGTATGTTTGCATGTTGTTTCCCCATTAGATTGCAGGCTCCTTGAGGCCAGAAACGGACTCTTACTTATTGTATGGCCAGCACTTAGCACAGTGCCTGGCACATAGTAGGTACTTGATAAATAGTTATTGACACCAACTCCTCTCACCACACTGCTGCTGCATCACACCCCTTCACTGGCAAAGGCTGGGAACAAAGCCTAGATCTGGGCACCCAGGGACGAGCCCCTGGCCTTCTCTGGGCCTCTTTCTTGGGTATAAAATACCGTGGCCGGTCAAGGCGGCTTCCAAGGGAGCTGCTGTTGCTAAATGACTTACAAAGCACCTTTCGGCCAGTCTCTCATCCCATCCTCACAACAATTTGAGGGGACAGGACCGGCACTGTCCCCTCCCTTGGGCTCCCAGCCACCCAATGCAGCAGACATCTGCTGGGTGCTTAGTGTGTGCAGAGTGTGGGGCCGGGGGCCAGCGAATGGACTGACCTTGCTCGTGGAACTCTGTCTAGGCACGGGAGAACCAAGATCCCAGGAAGAATAAGGGACATTTCTGCAGCACTTTGGTTTGCAGAATGCTTTCCATCCATGGTCTCATTGTGGAGCTCCATATTAATCATCCACCTCAATACAAGCGAAGTGGGCCTAGGATGATCCAGGAAGTGGGGAGGGACATCGACCAAGGCTCTCAGAAGCTGTTAATCGAGTGGAGCTTTAAGGGATGGGCAGGGATTCAGCAGGTCCAGGAGAGGACAGGGATTGTTCCAGAGACAGCAAACCAGAGGAACAAAGAATTCTGGAAGGAGGGAGAGTCCTTCAGTTGGCCGGAAGCATAGAATGTGTGGAGGGGAATTATGCAAGATGGAAAGGCATTTCGGGTTAGGTGGTGCCAGGTTGGGGAGGGTCCTGAATGCCAGGAAGAGGCCACTGGGAGCCCTTGAAGATTTTGGAGCAGAGAATCATTTGAAGGAACAGGCCACTGAAGCCCCTTCCAACTCTGCAATTCTCGGAAATGCAATGGTAAGGCAGCTTCCTGTGGGCTTTACTCTCCCAGAGCTGGACAAAGGCTGGACAGAAAGATTAGACCTTTTCGTATTCTTTACTCCACCCAAAGATGTCACAGCTTTCTATCTTCTCTGGCTGCTTCTCTATGCTGGCCCAAGATTATGGGTGAGTCCTATTATCAGCCCTCACACAGGGGTCAGCCCACAGGGGAGACACATGCCCCAGAATGGCCTTTTCCTGTCCCCTTCCCCAGTACTCTTCCTATCACACCCATTAGCCACATTCTTGATGCTAGCTTTTAGATGTTGTTTGTGGCCCTATCTCCAACAAATGATAGAGAGGGTTCGCACCTACTATGTGTCAAGCACATAGTAAGTGCTGGGGATACAAAGGCAAAAAAAAAAAAAGTTCCTGATGGCAAGTTGACATTTTAATAGTAGAGACAATATGCAAACAGCCACATCCAAATAAGCAATATACAGGATCAGTCGGCGCTAATCTCCGAGGGAAGGGAAGGCACTAGAATTAAGAAGATCAGGAAGGGCTTCCCACAGAAGGTGAGACTTTAGCTGAGACTTGAAGGAAGCAGGCAGGTGGAGATGAGGAAGGATGGCATTCCAGGTAGAGGGCACAGCCTGAGAAAATGCCCCGAGTCGGGAGATGGAAGAGCAGAGAAGCCAATGGTCTAGATCACATGGAACATGGAGGAGCAAGACAAGAGACTGGGAAAGTAGGAAGAAAGCAGATCATGAAGGGCTTTGAAAACCAGACAGAAAATTTAAATCTGATCCACCGGAGGCCCAGGGGAATGTTCCAAGTCACATCACAACCATCACGTCCTTGAGAAAGGCCCTGTTCCCACTGTCTTCTCTTCTAGGACAAACTTTCTGACTTCCTCCATCCACAGAGGCCTCTGCGGGAAAGCCAGCCCTTCCAAGGTCCTTCCTCAGAGGAGGAGCTGGGATGGAACAGAATCCTTTTGTGTGCCCTGCCCAGGGCAGAGGATATTCTCCTGTTTCCTTGACACACTCTCGACCTTTCTCAATGCAGCTGAAGAGAGACCCAGCTTTGGAGCAGCCACATTGCAAGCTAGTGACTCACACTGAGCACTCAGGCCACACAGACCTCCAGTGCTGTCTGTCATGTCTTCAGAAATCCATTCTAGTGGCTCAGTGGATAGAGCTCTGGCCTTGGAGTCAGGAGGACCTGAGTTCAGACACATAACACTCACTAGCTGTGTGACCCTGGGCAAGTCACTTAACGCCATTGCCTAAGGAAAAAAAAAAAACCCATTCTAAAGAGTTCGTCATTGCCCCAGGCTGGAGAATCCTCTGGGGATCCAAGTTTCCTTCCTCTGAAACCTTTGAGGTCAACTGTCTTCAGACTTGGGCCCGTGATGGGCTCCCTGAACAATCAGTCTCCTTCTGTGCAGGCAGGCGGTAGGATGCTCCAGTACAGAACCTGTTGCCATTATTTTTTTCTTCACCTAATGTTCTCCACTGTGAGCCCTTTCACCCTCTGATGCTGGGCTTTACTGGCACGATGTGGGGCATATGCACACTCCTCCTGTATCCTGAAGGATATGCGTCTGCTTCTGTCAGATGAGCCCTGGATGGCCTGCTCCACAGACCACTTCATGGTCACCCTTCTCTGAAATGCTAGGGAGAGTTTTTGTCAAATTGACAGTGCAAAAGTTTTTGTCTCCTTCTTAGCACTGCTTCTCATCCCAAAGAAAAATCTCTTTTTAACAATTGAAAATCCCTCCAGGCCTATGACCACAGGGATGCATTCAGAGTTTTCCCAAGGAAACTTGGGACTGCATTTTATGTAGTCAGGGCCCAGAGATTATTAGAACCAGCCAACTGCATTTTACAGATAACAATAATAATAGTAATAATGAACCCCCCTGACACGTGCCAGGAGCAT